ATTGGATGGTTGGAATGAAAATTTAAATACCTTCCTAAATTAGTGGGTTTTCTATAAATAAAAAAACTTAATTCTATCATCATTGATCATCACTTTAGTATTTAAAAAATTAATATCATCATTCCCACCAGTCTCCAAAGTGAATTGTATTCTAGGATGGTATGAATTGAATTCTAATAAGATTACCTCTACATCATTTTTGTGTGCCGTAAACAAAATGTCATACGTATCGAAAATAAAATGGTAGGCTGATGATAGGCTGGGATTTCGTTTGAAAATCGTCTCCTTTAAATCCTGTAATACCATATCTGCAAGTATGGGTAACAATAGGAAACCCATAGGAGTAAAGATTTGTTTATAAATTTTATTATTAAAAGTGAAAAATGTGGAATTTATCACCAGTGATTTATTACAGCCGTTATAAATGATTTAAAGTTTTATGCTCTTAAAACTAGTATTAAAATTATTCATAAAGTCTTATTTTCCAATTTAAATTCTTGTTTTAGGTGAAAACTACATTTGTTACAAACTTTTTTAAACATTTTATAAAAGATTTTTTAGCAACTATTTATAAATCTGTATGATATATAAAAAAATATTGATTTACTTTTGCAACGACAATTCATGTAATTTTAATTCGATTAAAATCAAAATTTAAGAATTGAGCCATTGCTGCATTGAAAGATATTATATTTTTTGTTATAAATAACGTATTTTCAAAACCAATGCAAACATTAAACGAGAAAAAGAAAAAGAGAAACAATTACATACCTCCGTGGAAATCACATTCTGTTGACTCATTCCATCGAGAGGAGCTCGCCTGATGGTAGTTGTTTGTTCATCAGTCCAATACAGCAACTCTTCCGCTGGATCGAAGTCAATTGCAATTGCATGTTTAATGCCGGTGAGTGGCAACACGAAATTTGTATAATCAGGCGAGTCCAAGGATATTCGACAGATTTCGGTTCGTTGGACTATTAGCAGCAACTGTTCCGGTCTGTTGGCGCAAGTGTGTTTGTCAATCAGTTTGACACCCGTGGGACAGGCGCAACTATAACCAGGTTCCTTCGAGCTCAGAAGGCACAGATGAGAACAATTGCCGTTGTTTCGTTTGCAAGGATTATTGCTGCCCGGTTGCCTCCTTGCATCCCAGACTTCAATGTCACCTGAAAACGATATTTAATAAAAATTAATAAATACAGAATATCAAATAAAATAAATCATATTAATTTTATTAGAGGTGCAAATCATGATTTTCCGAATCTTTCAAAGAGATTCAAATACAAATCAAATTCAATCTCACTTAATTCAAGTAGTATTCAAATAATTTACATATCTTTAAATTTTATATGGAGAATTAATAAATATCATGTAAACAGATAAAATATATAATAATAAATATAAATAATAAATATCGTAATAAAGATTTTAAATATATATAATCTAATGATCTAAAGGAAATAAAGCACACTATATAATTTTTTTAGATTTAAAGATAAGCGTTAAGAATATAATTGGCCTGATCTGAAGATCAAATACAAACAATTTTAATCAACATTTGCTCAAGTTATTATTGTATACACAAGAATATATTTACTACCAGGTATATATTTACTACCAGGTATATATTCGCCGTGAAATAATTCACGTGGATGTGATTGTGGCTGGTTTATATCATACGAATGGATACACCAAGTCTTCCAGTCGGTCCAATAAAGTCGATTGTCAAAAAACGTTATGGCAAATGGGTAGTCCAGATTGCGAGTGATCAATTTGCGTTTATTACCACCATGATAATCCATTACAGCAATGAAATGTAATCTACCATCCGCCCAGTAGACGAGTCTATTTTCATAATCAATCGTCAGGCCGTTCGGCCAGAATATGTCGTCAGAGACGATAATCTCGCGAGTATTCGGATCACCATCCATTGAGGCACGTTCAATCTTAGGCACGTCGCCCCAATCGGTCCAGAATAGATATCCTTCCATGGGCGCGAGAGCGATTGCACGCGGCTGATAGATGTCATTCCAGAAGAGAACCTTCCTGTTACGGCCGTCGATGCTGGTCACCTCAATCCGGTTCTTCTCGCCATCCGTCCAGTACAATTTATCCGTAAACCAGTCGCAAGCAAGACCATCGGGCGATATCAAACTGGAGTTCACTACTGTTATCTTCTCACCAGTGTGTGTGCCATTATAGTGAATGCACTGTATCATCTCCAAATTGCTGTCGGACCAACAAATCAGCTCACGCTCATAGAAGAAGTCCAGTGACGCACCTTCTGACAAATCCTTAATAATGATGTTGACCTTGTTACTGCGAGATATATTGGTCACCCTGATATCCTTATGAGTGCCAAATAGAAGTAGAGGCGAGCCTAAAAAATAATAATATCAATAATATAATATTTAGTTTGAGAATAATTGGCTTACTTAAAAAATTTTGACTTAATTAATCTTGGACTTGAACTTAATATGTCCTCGTCACTGAACTATCATCTCTTTACATTCTTTAGAGTAGAATCTTACATCAAGAAGTAAAAATTGAGTCAGTCTTAAAAAACTCTGAAAAAAATTATGTCACAATGTTAGATGGTGAAATCATGTAATTAAAACATGTAAATCACGTAATGAATTGTTTCAAATCAGCATATAATTTTTTAAAACGATGTAATGTGAAAAATCACATGATATTAGAAATAATTTCATCCATCATGTGATTTTATAGTTATCAAATTTTAAAGAATTGAATGATAGAAGTAGAAGAAAAAAGAATATCATCATGTGACTTTTCAAAAGACATAATTTTAACATCACGTACTGATTAGGAACATTCTGTTACATGTGATTTACATGTTTTAATTACAATTTCATCATGCGACTGTGTGACGTGATTTTTTTCAGTAGGGAAGACTGACTTAATTTTCAATCTTTAATATTTTATTTCGTTAATTATTATACTTAAAAAAAAATAAACCATAAAGTTAAAAGTTTGTCTTTAAAACACCATTACGGTTTAAAAAAAAAGAAAATTCGCTTTCACAACGCTTTAAGCATCGTTTCATCCTTGTTATTTAATAAATATAAACAAGGATAATTGATGTTCACAAGCGTGTGAGCGGGAAAGTAAACGCAGCCATAATAAACACACACGTATACACACAATGTACACAACATACATAAATAGCAAGCAAAACAAACATGGAAAACTGTGCACAGACGACAACAGCAAAAAAATATAAAATCAGGAAAAAAGGAAAAAGAAAGATCAAAAAAGAAGGCGAAAAAGAGCTAGTCTCAAAGACATCGATTTTAGAAGAGGAAGAATGATAAGATCATGACGGATTGAGCATCGATGCTTACCATTGCAAAAAAAAAAGTCGCAGAGGAAGCAAGCGATAGCGAGCCACGCGTTCATGGCGAGGATTAATTATCCTAGCTGCAAGTTTCTCGGTCGAGGTAAAATTGCGTTCACAGCTACGATCATCTCGTCGCCGTATGGTTGATAGAGCAGTTCCTTAACAGTGTTATCACGTTCGTTTTCCTTGCGTCACCGGCCATTTGTACTGTGGAACTGTCTTGGGTCCAAGACGCTCCAGATTCCAGCGGTGGCGTCTACCGCTTCGAACACACACAAGATTCATGGGTGCACTGTTTTATCAACGTCCGATTATTCGAAAATATTTATACAGATAAACAAAAGAATAATTTTTCCTAGAATTTGTTATACATATTTTTTAGAATTTTTGTGTAAATTTTAGAATTTTTTCAGAAATTTTTTTTTAAATCATGAAAAATCTTATTGTTAGAATATCAATCTTAAAACTCACATAAACGAAAAATTCTAAGAAAAAATGTAGACTGTCTTATTTTTGAAAAGTGTTCCAATTCGTATAGAAAATTTTCAGAAAAAGTTTCAGTATGCAGCAACTTTTCCAGTTTATCGTTTTTAAGTTGCTAAAACATTTTTAATTTAAAATTCTTAGAAAAAGTAGATGAAGAATACAAGTTGAACAGAGATTAAAATTAATCTCACATTGGTGAAAATGAGTATAATAAATTGTATATATCAATTTTAATATAAAAATTTTTTTACACGAAATAAATAATAAAACAAATTTTTTATAAATACGCTGTTTTATCGATATATCCAGTTGTCCAAAAATATGTAGACAAAGATATAAGTACAATTTCTTCTTTTTCTATCATTTTAAAAGCATCAAGTAAACATCTTAAAAGCGCATTAATAGATTCGATATATCAATTTTATTGTCGAATATAATAAATCTAACAAAATTTTTGAAATATTGATATTTTATATAGCAAATTTATTTCTATATATAATACAAAAAATTTAATTGTTTACAATACAGAACACCTTATAATATATCCTTTATTCCAGATTCGAAATTGGATGATATTTTCTTGCTTTGCAGATAAATCTCTATACCTGTTTTCGATTGTCCTTTTCCACCTGTTGCAATTGGAATTGATCAAAATGAATCCATTCATCCGCGAGGGATAGCTGGGAGAAATCAGCCTTCTATAGAAAAAAAAAGCATCGTGTCATCTGCAATGCAGAAAGTGTCGGAAAGTGCAATTCGGAGAATTGCATTTCGAAGCAAATTAAAGGAAAAGATTAAAAAAGATGAGACGATCACGTGGATTTAAACGAAAGCGATTTACGAGAATCATGGCAGATCACACCAATCTTGTTTGCTCAGCGATAAGCGATTTCCAAACAAATAGGTTACCTACGTCAGTTGCAGTCCAAATTAAGTGGAAACGCAATAATCGTGGCGTGATCGTTGCGCGATAACTACATATTATTCTCGTTCAGCGACCTTCGTTCAGTTGACCTTCCGCAACTTCGTAGATCTTGCTCGTCATTTTCGTCATTTTGTGCTTTGTTGACGACGCAAGTGGAATTTCGTCGATGAGTAAGTATTCATGATTGACAGAACGATCATCAATCATCTCTCTTTCGTAGATGGTCGAGATAGATCTGGTAGACGTGGAACAATGTGGATCTGTTCGTTTTAATTGCGATCACCAAAAGTTGAACTCCAGATTTCCTTAGGTGCGAAAAAATGATCAGTCTCTCTAGAAATCAGTCATTTGCAGTCGTACATTTGCTCTTAGATGTTGAGACTAAAAAAATCTGTTAAATATTTCATTTATTTTTAGAAGATTACATAATTATGAGAAGTACATAGAAAAATTTGTAACGCGAAATCTTGCAGAACCTAAAAGTTGCACTTATTTCTTATATTTTGCACAAAAAGAAGTTTGTCCTTCTTTGCATGGTTCATCTTCTCTTTTCTTCTCCAATGCAAATGTTGAGAGAGAAAAAAGTTTAGCTAAAAAGAACAGATCTAACAACAGGTTAATTAATTTATTATATTAGGCGATAATAAAAACTTTAATTCTGTTTATATTTTTTATTATACTATTATAATATATTATATAAATATTAAATTAAATTTACGTTAGTTATATCCTTTTACGAAATAAATGCATATAAAAATAATGCGAACTTTAAGATTTCTTAGCATCTCTCAATACTTTTTATTTTCCTTTTTTTAGGATGATTTTAAAGAAAATTATCTGAAATGCTGTGACCACACTTCACCTATCTACTCAAATGTTACAATACTATAACAATACTATAACGAATTTATTGTGAAAAATATTCCAGCCAGGTATTTTAAAGATGCTCATTAGCATCAGTATCATTAAATTGGTCAATTTAATTTGTAATATTATGTACTTCAGCTTAAGTTCAGGACTGTTTCAATTATGTATCTTGAAATGAGGTAAAAATTATAAAAGTAAGCAAATTCTTCAAAATATTGATCATTTTGTTAGTCAGCATCTGTGAATTTGCTAACTTTTGTAATTTTCAAGATATATGATTAATTCCTTAATCTTTAGAAAATAAATATTCATAATTAAATAACGCAATAAGAACTGTTCTTTTACAATCATTCGAGCTTTTCAAATATTCTGATTATATTTGGCTTCCGATATTCTCATCTGTTATTCTCATCTGTTATACCATTTTATCAGCTCTGATATCATTTTATCAGCTCTGATATTTTTATTAGTTTAGTAGAACATATTATTATTGATTGCTTTTTTTGTAATTTTGACGAAATTAATTCACAAATAAATTGCATTAAAAAATTGCTTTAATTCCTTCAAAGATAGCTCTTGATAAAACGAAAGATCTTGTAGATGTATTTAGCAATTTTAATTTTCTCTTTTCGATTCATTTAAAATATACTTTTGAAAGAAATGTGTCTCATAAAAAAATGCATTCAAAATATTAATTTTGTCTCATAATTTGAAGGCAACCACAACAGTTGAAGATGCAGATGTATCTAAACATCAGAACCTTTTTCACATAATCACTACTTCTGTTATTCTATTTTCATAATTTTGTGACTTTTTAGAGCTATATTTTTTTCTCATTGTCTTAAAGATTACAAATATTAATTAATTCTATGATTCTATGATAGACGCAGACGAATTCAGTGGAAAGAAACGTACTCATTCATCTCATATCTCTCCATAAACACTGCAAAACTTCAACGAGGAATGAATCAGACCGTTTTTGGAAGAACAAAAACACAGGGTCATCTGATGAGGGGTGATCTACGTCAGCATAAAGTGCATCTCACGTTTTCGAATGAAGTCACGTTTAAATCACGTTTTGTCGGCCGATAAGCCTGGAAACTTTATCTGGCACGAGCATGCCCCGATATGCAGGGATCATCCCATTGACCTCAACAGTGGAGAAACAAAGATAAATGAGGATGTATGTATAGCTGGTGCACATTTCAAGCGTGAGTCAGTATCGTGCCAGCATTACAAAGAGACCTTATAGAAAGGAAAATTTTTCCATCTTTCAAACAATCGTGTTTGTCATTAATTGTGAAATAAGTAAAAATTGATTTTAATAACCGAGTGTATAATTGATTAATAGATTACATTGATTAATAGATTAGATCTGACTGGAATTTTTAGTATTTTTTTTTTTTTTTGATCATAATATTTGAATATATTCATATTATATAGCTTTTGCATCGTGAAATTTGATTATTCGGCAGTGAATATAAGTTTATACAATCATGGAAGCTCTGGGAACTGTAAGTATTACTCAAATTAATTTTGATTGAAAACTAATTTATAGAAGTCTTACGCTTCTGCTTAGAATTGACTTGTAAATTTATATCTCGAATTTATTTCACATATGTATTTAAATAAACATTATCTACATGGGTAAAAAATATTTGTACACTTCTTTTTGAGACGTCTTGGCACAAAAACAAATATTATATAATTGTCATTACGAAATATTTTACACAATATATCAGGTAGAATGATAGAATGATATCACAGGACGTCATCATGAACTTATTTTTCACTTATAAATTCTTATTTAAGCCCTTATTATGATTTCGTGTTCTACATGGAATATAAATGAAAAAAATATATATATTTGAAAGTGTTTTAGAATCTTCTTTTATAAAATTATCACACAAAAAAGACAAGATATGCAAGTACTTTTTTTTATACCTACTGTATATCTTTAGACAAATATATCTTATCTTAAGATTTTCCAATGGCGGAATTAAGGAAAACTCTATCGTTGCACAGTACGTTAAAACACTTCTCAGAAATGATTATTCTCTTCTATTCGTAGAATTGAAATATAATTTTATAACGTAACGTTCGTAGAAATAATTTACTAAAAAGAACGTTTAAAAATTATTAATAAAGAGATAAATCAACTCACAAACCTCCCGCGAAGGAGTTGACAAAGAGCAACCGATAAATCATTAAACGATTTATTAAATTATATCGTTCGATACGTGCGTGATGACAAAGTTACGTTAAGAGGAGTTCAGAGTTCTGACGAAACTGTTTTTGCCTCCTTATTAAAGCAAAAAGTAGAAAACAAATAGATACTCCTGTGACGCAAGATGTTAACATCATCAAATATTGACAAAAATCACGCGATGTCTTATTACAAAAACTCGTATATAAAATTAAATTGTCCCCTCGTAAAAAAAATAGCTGTTTGCCACGCGACGATAACCCCGGGTCACTTTTTATAACGATAATTATTGATATCATGCATTCGGCCGAGATCTTTCGCCGCACGTGAGCGAACTCGTGCGACGAGAGATATAATAATTTATAATACTCGCAACGATTGAGCTTGGCTCTGAAGTCCAATAGATTAGTTTACACGTCTGCAATTTTCAATGAAAATCCTGTTTTTATTAGAATTTTATTAGGACTTATTTTTCTTAGAAATTAAGATATGAATTAGAGAATCTATCGTTGAAGATAGACGATGAAACAGAGATTACGATCCTTAAAAAAATTTAATACTATAAGTATTAAATTGGTTAACTATTTATTTTGAGTATCAAAAGCACTGTTGTTATTTACAGTAATAAATTTTTCTAAGGAGAGTTGTAAAATAATTTATCCTATGGACAATAAATTCAAATTTTTATTGTTTTTCTTATTGTTTTTCTCATTGTTTTTCTATGTTGTATTTTGCAGTACCCGATTTTAAAGTCTTTCTTGGCGGGCTCGTTCTCCGGGACATTCTCCACGATCCTTTTCCAACCGCTGGATTTGGTGAAGACTAGACTTCAGAGCAGAATTAATGCTCCTGTCGGGTAAGATTAAAGTACATTGTTGTAAACAAAATCGACACTTTTATTTTAAATATATAATCAGAATTTGTCCTCTTTCTTCTCAAAATTCTTAAGATTTAATTTAAATAATTTGATGTCTCTTGATATTTAATTTCTAAAATTTTTCAAAATTACATCTTTTACTTAATTTAAATTTAATTTTTTGGCTCAACTAATTTTATTAATTTAAAATTTAATACTTTTTTATTTTTACGAATTTAAGAATTTAAATTTAAAACTTGTTACCTTAAGCTTCTATTTTTCAAATAATTACTAACTTTTCGGATTTCTTAATAGATCACCAAAAAATGGAATGCTGGGCATGGTGGCGCACATCGTTCAGAAGGAGAATATCTTCGGACTCTGGAAGGGCATGACACCGGTAAGATATCGTTCTGAAAATTAATATGAATTGAATGTTATTCACACTAATATAACAACATAATGGTTAATTGTAGTCGATAACTAGAGTAATTCCTGGTGTGGGTTTGTATTTTTCATCGCTACACTGGCTGAAACACACTTTCAATCTTGAAGAACCTCTGACGGCTCTGCAAGCTATTTCTTTGGGCATTACCGCAAGGTCCATGTCCGGCGCCTTGCTAATTCCTATCACCGTCGTGAAGACTCGATTTGAGGTACGTTCAGAAAATAATAATAATAATAATAATAATAATAATAATAATAGAATATAAAGCATGAAAGAACATAATGGCATTTTTAAATTATAAAGGAAAGAAATGCTGAAAAAATGATAGAAAAAGAAAGAAAAATTCTAAAACTCAAAAGTTTTTTCCTAAACATTATTAATATATATTTTTGTAATAGCATGACAATATCTAAAAATATTTTATAAATTTCGACTATATGAGGATTCGATGATATTTTTTGATTTTTTCAAAACGAAATTCAAGCCGATTATATAAATATAATTCTGTATTCTGCAGAGTGGCGTTTACAAGTACAACAGTATCAGCGAAGCTCTTACGTTGATCTATAAGCAAGAGGGGATAAGAGGTTTATCAAGTGGTTTAGTTCCTACCCTTTTACGAGATGCACCTTACAGTGGTTTATATCTCATGTTTTACACCCAATTAAAAAACGCGGCTGCCAATACAGGTATTCCTCAAAGCGATATATTAAAAAATATTTTACATAAAAATTATGAAATTATTTGTGACTTTGTTAATAACTTGTCGATATCCCTATAATTTTAAATAAAAAAAAATCAGATTACATTAAGCATGCATGTCGATATCTCGTTGAACAATAACAAATTTTTCTATTTGCAGGAGCGACAAACAATTCGTCGACATCGATACACTTTAGCTGCGGAATCCTGGCTGGAATTTTAGCGTCCATAGTGACGCAACCGCCGGATGTTATCAAGACGAAGATGCAGTTGTACCCGAATGAATTCCATGGTATCTGTCACGCAACATTCTTCATTTATAAAAAGTATGGCATTTTAGGATATTTCAAGGGTATCATTCCTAGAATGCTGAGGCGGACTTTAATGACTACTATGGCTTGGACTGTGTATGAACAGGTAAGTCGATCTATTGTCAAATAAAGATTTCGCTACGATCACATGAAAATGATATGTGACGATCACATGATATTCAATTTCCGAATTTTGCAGAAATTATTATTGTTATTAAATATTAAAATTTTATAAGAATTATATATTTATTTAGCAAATATATTTTACATAAAAAATTATAATTGTGAAGCTAATTAAATTAATAATGTATATTTTATTGTATTATCCAGGTTACAAGGCAAATTGGTTTGAAATAAATACACTGTTATGCTTATATATCAGAACTGTTTTATATCAGAAGAAGATGTACAGTATTAGCATAGACTGTTTTATGTTATGTATTATTAAGTAATTTATTTGTAATATGTAATAAATTATATATTTTCATAAGCTTATGTAATTATGTATTTATACATCATTATCTTTCTCATACAGATTTTTCACTTTGTACTTCATTTGTTTATCCTTTATTCATCTAATTAATTCCATACTTAACAATTACGATAAAAAACTGATGTAAAGATTAAATAATTACATTTATTTCGACACACACACACACATATGCTCGCAATATATATATATATATATATATATTATATGTGTGTGTGTGTGTGTGTGTGTGTGTGTGTGTGTGTATATATCAGAAGTATGCATTAATTTTAAAGGATTTTTTTGGTAAAAATACAGCTTTATTGTAAAAAAATAGTTACAAATTCAAAATATTGTCCATCGTTAGCCACTTTTTCCCATCTTTCTGGTAAGGTGGATTCCACGTCGAAAAAACGACACATCTTTTGATCCACGAATCGATCCATTTTTTGGTATCTTCATAAGAATGAAAGCGCTGCTCAGACAAGCCATGAGTCATTGATCGAAATAGGTGATAATCAGAAGGAGCAATATTTGGAGAATACGGCAGATGTGATAAGATATTCTAGTTAAGCGCTTCTAACGTTTCCTTGACCGGTTTCGCAACATGTGACTGAACGTTGTATTGAAAAATCACTATGTCGTGTCTTTTCGCGTAATCTGACCATTTTTGCTTCAATGCTCGGCTTAATTGCATCAATTGTTGTTGGTAGCATTCCCCAGTGATGGTTTCATTGAATTGGAGCAGCTCATAATACACTATACCCAGCTGATCCCACCAAATACAGAGCATGAGCTTAAATATTCGGCTTTGCTGTCGATGTTGATGATTCTACTGGCCTGCACCATGATTTTTTGCACTTCGGATTATCGTAGCCATTTTTCATCACTCGTCACAATACCATGCAAAAACTTTTTTTCTGTGTCTTTGAAGCAACAATTCACAGGTCATTTTGCGCTTTTCGACGTCTCTTGGCTTCAACTCATACGGCAATTTCTTTGCTTTTGAATCATTCCAGTGGCCTTCAAACGTCTGGAAATCGTTAATCGATCAACATTTAATGATTTTGCAAGTTCTTGCGTTTGACTCCGGTCTTGATCGAGTAAAGCTTCCATTTCCTCATCTTCAACTTTTTCGGGCCTGGACATTCCTTGTCTTTCGTGCCAAATTATCTTTTTATATCGTCGAAATCAGTATTCACATGTTGAAATCGATGGAGTATAATCACCATAAGCTTCCGACAGCATTTGTTTCAACAGCACTTTTCTTCAAATGGAAGCAAAAAAGCAAATTGCGTTTTGTTGGCACAAAATTCGACATATTCAATGCTCAAAAAAACAATATTGTTTACACTTCGGCACAATGACACATACTGAAAACTAAAGCCACATAATGATGCTTTGAAGATGAAGATAGCAACAATATGGCTCAACGCGATAGTATTAGTTACGCCATCTCTTAAAAATCCTTTAAAATTAATGCACACTTTCAATATATATACTAAAGTGTATATTAAAAAAATAAATAAAAAGTAGAGCAAACAAAGAGATATGTGGGGCATTGTTTTATTAATTCTAAATAACAATTTACAAGTATTATTATTATAACAGCAAATACAAATTGTACAATTTACCTTGCTGATCATTCTGTTTATGTATGGATGGTCTAAAATAATTGCTTTGAACACGATTTATATCGATTCTGGTATATCTGTGATCTCAACGCAAATATTTTCTTCACCTGTCCTCCCTTCTCTCACTCTTTTTTTTATTGTTAAGATTATGCAAAATCTTTACCTTAACAATATGTTAAACGCTGTCTTGGACAAGTTCTGGAAGTCGCTCTTGGTTCTTCTCTTCTTCCTGAAAGTAGACAATCCAAATTTTAACAAAAATGTCATCGGTACCGAAATACAATGTAATAGCCAAACATTGCTTAATGATAATCTTGGTAGCAAAATCCTGTCCCACTGTCGACTGTGTGTTTGTTTAACAAGCGCACGAGGTCCTCATTAATTATCAATTAAATCTCTCCGATGAGAAATACAAAAAATACGCAGATAGTTAATTTCTATTGTCTGTGGAGGGAGGGAAGATTGGTGACTTTCGTCATTCACGAAATATCTAAATTATCAATGCTCTCTTAAGTCTAATTTTTAAAATAGATATTATATTTTTTACAAATAAAAATCAGGTATACATTTCTCTCTTATAATTACCTATATTTCTTTTCCTATTAACTCTGCTAAGAGTAGCATTCTTGTTTGAATATATTTTATTTCCTGATAAAAATGGTAGAGTACTAATGTCGGTCTTGCACAAATGTGCACGATCCTAAATATCAGCGATTTGAAGATCCATGTCTAAAACTTTGTATCTCAAAAATCGTTAAACCTTAGCTAGCCAAGGATCTCAAAAGAACAAAGAGCTAATTCTCCTGGCAGAAGGACATGTGTTGATATTATCATTCCGGCATAAATACCTCGTCAATTGAGCGTGGCAGAAGCTAGAGGTTCGTATAGTCACAGTCACACGTTTGCAGGGCGCACTCACAGTTGTGCACTCGTGCATTTGCAGTCGTGGACGAAGCTCTATGAAGCGGGCAGAGCTGAGAGCTGTGTCCCCTCCACACTAAACCACTAAATCTCTTTCTTTCTCTCTCTCTTTCTCTCTTTCTCTCTCTCTCTCTCTCTCGTTAATGACGCGTAAACAAGATTGCGGCATTAACGAATCTACAGAGATAACCTTGTGCCCGAGAAGCAAAAAGAGTCAAGTTCAAAATTATCAGCTTTTACCGAGATTTGAATTTATATTATCGCAATAAGAAGTACGATGACCTTTTACAAAATACATGAAAAAGCAAGATAAATTCTCGAAGAGTAAACCTCGAAATCAATTATCTAAAAACAAAACGCGACAAGACTACTTAGAATAAAAAGAAAAACGCTGTATTTTTTTTTATAGAAACAATTCGTTTTATTTTTAAGTAAACACTATGAATCTATTATATTGGACGAGTTTCAACCTGATTGTATTTATTCACATTCATTAGATTCATCTTGAAAGCGCATATCCACAATTCCATAGACCTTCGCGGGTTTTTCCTGGAAAAAAACGAAATCTTGAACTTGTGTTTTTGTGCTGCTTGGATACAGAGTTAATAACTGATAAAAGCAAGCATAGGTATACCTCCTCCCAGCTTACTTCATAAATAAATCGAAAATGCTCGGAATGACATTAGAGGTATGTAAAAAAAATTAAACTTTCACACATAGTGATTAAAAATTTGCCATTTTTACTTAAATTGTAAATTTAAATTTTATACAAATTTATTTCCTAATTATTACAATAATTTCCAGAATAATATAATTTTATATTGTTAAAGATTTTTTTATTATAAATTTATTAAATGCTCGAAAAAATTAAATTTAGAAAAGAATTTTAAAAAAAATTATATGCATAAATGTATTTTCAATTTTTTTAAAAATCATTACAATGGTGTAATTGAAACATAAAAACTTGACCATGAAAACAAATTTAAATTTAATTTTCTCGATCTTAGTTCTACAAATATCACAGTATCATACACAAAAGCATTTTGTCTTTATATATAATATATTTACAACACTCTATATAATAATAAGTTTACCTATTACATTCTGTACATTTTATCATTGATCTCCCAGCTCTATATATATGATTGCGTCACTAACAAATTTTGATGTTAAGGAAAACGAAAGAACATAATTTGTTCCTCGAATTGTATAATATGGCGCGTTCATTTTTCATGAAAGCATGACTATTCTGGAAGATTAGAGAGAGAGAGAGAGAGGCGGAGAGAAACAGAGTGTATTTCAGAGAGAGTGAGATGAACTTGCTGTGTGACTTACGCGGCGCTTCAAACATCACAGATTATATTATCATGTATATGTATTATGTGCATCGGAATGGCAACTCACCTGGATCAAGAGAGTACCTGTACAGTAATTGAGACGAATATGGTTATATTGTTTGGTGCATACCTGGCTTACTTCTCACTCACTAACCAATCAAGAGAAGTTACTTGTGACTTCGACTTCGCGAGCGATGACGGCGACGGTTATGATGGCTGGAACTACGATGATCACGATTCCCTGAAATCATTATTATTGTCATTGCATCATTCTAAAAAACACAATGTCTGATATATAAATTATAATTGTGAACATTATCACTCACCTTTATCTCGACCGTGACGTCGATGGCTATCTTCATCTCGATGATGTTTATCTCGCGATCTACTTCTACTTCTATGCCTAGAATTTCTGTAATAAGCAACATCCCCGTTACATTGGCTCATTCGATTCTTGAACATCATATTTCTGCTAGAATGTAAAAATACAACAGAAAAGATCCTTTAGAAATTAAATTGGAAACAATTTTTATCAAATGTATAAAAATTCTAATCGATATTTATCCTGATAAAATATTCTAATACTATTCTGAATAAAGTTTAGAATAAATTAAAAAAAAAAAAGCCATAATATGTAGAAATTTCTACCTATGACCGCCCGAATCATGGCGGTTCTTGTCATCATCCATTCGTCTGCGACGCTTGTCTCTTTCTCTGTCGCGATCTCTTTCTCTGTCGCCGTCTCTCCGCCGTCGATCGAGCTCTTCGTTCGCTCGTGCTCTTTGCTTCCGTTCCTCCTCTCTTTTTTGTTCTTTCTCGTCGCGTGCCTTCTCACGCTTGTTCTGTAGATAAGATAAGGTAATTTTAATTTAGTTTTCAACTTCGAAGATATATTTAAGATTCTTGTTCAATCAACACTATAACTCTATTCAAATATAACTTGTAGGAATTTTAGGTAATTCTTCAGAATAGCTACCTCATCTCCGATTTCGATGAAATTAGGGTCATTTGCATTTTTGCGTAAAATGAAAGAATCTGGCAGAAAAAAAGCTAATTCTTTCATTTTACGCAAAAGCCTAATTTCATCGAAATCGAAGGTGACTTGACTTCAATAATTGTCAACTTTAACGCTCAGTATCTCGCTTCGTAGAGCAGTTCCGGACTTTTTTCTGCCAGATTCTTTCATTTTATACAAAAACACGTCGAATGAGCCTAATTTCATCGAAATCGGAGGTGAGCTATTTTGAAGAATTATCGAATTTTTATTATATTTCCTTGCTTCTAATGCCACATTCCAAGACAGCAGTGAGGAACAGGAACTTTAATGTTAAAAAAATATCTCTACCATAATCTCTTGAAGAGCGCTCTTTAGCCTGGCATAGCCCACGTGTTGTTTCCCCATTAAATGATCATCAATCCGCTGTTGAGCATCACCCACGATAAGAAATGCACCACATACATCGCATACCTCCATTTGTTTCTCCTGTGCGGCTGCTAGCTCAGCAGTCTGTAAATTAACAGAATTAGTATAAGAATTCAAGTAGCAAATAAATTATTTACAATTACTTATAATTATTACATATAAAGCTACATAGAAATTAATTATAGATTATAGTTCTAACTTGTAAATTCAAACAATTGTTTCTCACTTGTTTCACACATGTTTACTCACTTGGTTGTAATGACTGTTATCATTGGATTTCCTCAGAGTTTCGCGCTCTTCTTTCAACTGGTCACAAAGACGCATTAGGCCCTGTGCTTGCTCCACATTACCTTGAATTCCACTTTGTTCAGCTTCTTCAACCAACTTATTTATTTTCTCTGTTAGTAGAGCAATCTGTTCCTCATTCCTCTGAGTTTGGGCTGGCGTTAACGTCGGCTACACGCACAAGAATTATTAAATTACAACTCTGCGCTTACAATCTGATCTTCTAATGAAACTTACTGCTTCTGTTCTCCCAATCAGTGCCAATCGCTGCTTTCCCTTTATGATCTTTCTCTCCACTTCGTTTAACATACTCTGACAATACCTGATAAACTCATCCTCGTATTGCTGTTTACGATACGAATGCGGTGCCTTTTCAAACAATTCCCTGGCCTCATCGTCGTGTACCTTGGGGCATGCACCTAAGTCCGCTCTTGTGTTAACGAATAAATCATGGGGACAAAATTTTACCAGATACAGCTTACAAAACTGAAACACAAGACCATTCCATAGATTTAACATAGTTAAATAAATATAAATTAATGTAAAATAATTAAGTTTAAAATAAAATTTAATTAATAAAATAAAAGTTTAGTCAAAAAGAACAGGCCTCTTGTTGTTTGCTTATGTTAAACAAGGATGAAAAACAATTCTGTGTTACAGAGTGTCTGACTGTGTCCTTGCTGGAAAGCACTCCTAAACTATCCTTAACACTTAATATTTAAAAAAAATAAACTATAAATACAGTTTATTTTAAATATATTTATTTATAAAACAAATTATAAATAATCTGAAAATTTTTGATATTCATTTCTTTGTTACATTTTTTATTTCTTTACATCTTTTTACTCCAAAAAATATGTTTAAATATAGCTTAAATTACCTTAAGTTAAGCTAATAAATTTCTTAGAAAAAAATAAAGACTATAATTTTGAAAGAAAAATGAGACAAATTTATTAAAATAAAAATAAACAATCAGTTAAAGACTTAATAGTCAAAGCAGATAAAAGTACAAATTTATTAGTTCTAACAATAATTAATAAATTTTTCCATTATTCCTCTCCATGATTTATTAGGTGTTGGAATTAATTCGTAGCGTTTTACAAGTGATGGGAAGTACTTTCATTAATGTATTTTTTAATGCTCATGTGAAATAAATAACATTCTTTCATTAAAAACGCTACGAATTAATTCCAACACCTAATAGCTCCAAAAAAGTAATAAATTCATAAAACTTTTCTCAGATCAATTTGTAAATATTTACTTTTAAATTCAAACTTTGTAGTCATATAGATTTTGTTTTGATTGTATTTTCTAATTACAAATAAGATAAAATCTTATCAGATATACGATATTTCCAAGCTTTAAGAGAATTTAAAAGACAATAAAATTTAGAAAAAGTTAAAGGAGTAATTAAATTAAGACTCTGTGTACAATGAAAGAAATATTATTATAATAAAAAGAATATTAGAGAAATAAAAAATAAGAATAAAAAATTAAATACTATAATTTGTTATTTTTTTATTTCTCTAATATTTTTTTCATTGTGTGCAAAGCCTAATTTTATAAAATTTTATGATAATATCAGAGTACATCAATCCAACCTTCTTTAAATATTCAATTATACAAATTTTCGTGATTTGCATCTTAGAATCTTGAGATTTTTCGCGGATGTCAAATGAAGGTAAATGCCATTGTCAAAAAAGATGGGTTAATGAGAGGAAAGATAAAAATTATCAAAAATAGGAATTTTGCAGAATATCTGACGAAGGCTCGAAAACACCTAACATCAACGCAGACTCACCTCGGGATCTTCCCAATTGAGCTCCTTGGGCTTTTCATTGGGCAAGACATTCCTGTTCCTGCCCATAAGCTCATCGAGCAGCGCGGCAGCCGCAGCGGCGGCCATTTTATTTTGATCACACTACGGCAATCGTGACTGATTGCGATGTCAATCCGCATACATAGGATGCACACGTTAAAAATCTTGCAGCTGCTGAAGATTCGCCGCGAGATAAAAAGAATCTTCTCTTAATGGCGAGGCACGGCAATACAAAGTAACAATTTCGACAATTCTCAATAGGATTCAATCACGAGACACAACACAACAGCAACGCGCTTACGACGTCGACAATTGCGAAGCGAAACTGCACGTGATTATGCGTTTCGCCACTAGGCGGCGAATAAGACCGAATTCACTAGATCTCTATAAAATCACTAGATCTCTATAAAATCACTAGATCTCTATAAAATCACTAGATCTCCATAAAGTGCAGCAAACTCGCATCCATTTTTTGACTCGCAAAACGCGGCCATTTCGAATTTATGCATTTGTATTACGTGCTTTATTTGGGAAAATGAAGCCATTAAGTAATCAATGTTTTTTTAACTGTAATTAATTTATTTATGAACAAAAGAATATGTACGAATGCTCAATTTACGTGTTCTTTAGTTTAATACGGACTTATTTATCGTAGAAGTTTTGTGTATAAAAGTGCACGAAGGATACGTAAGTACAATTCAGAACTGTTCAGGAATACGAAAGTACACATCACACGTGTGATCATCTCATGTTTTATCGTTTCGAAAATGTACGATTAGGTTAGCTGCACTCAATTGACCCAATGTGAATCCTGGTGTACTTCAAATCGTGTACTATGTGCACTTCGGCCATTTTTACGCGACATTTCTGAAATCAATTGCGGTACTTTATAATCTAGTGACTTTAGGGTTCACACCTTGGGATCGATTCTATAATTCTTCAAACAAGGTGAAAATTACAAAAGCGAGCAAATTTACTACGTGTTGACTAATGAAATAATCAGATTCTAGTAAATTCGCTCACTTTTATAATTTTGAACAGAATTGACTCCCAGAATCGCGAAAAGACAGAAGTAGACAAGTGAAATGTACTGCCTACTACTACTTGCGGCGAATTCCGATTGGCTTCCGCTTTTCCACTTTCCGCTTTTCCGTCAAGGTGTAAACCCAGCTTAAGTGGCTTCGTACAATAAAAGGAATAAGGATTAGAGAACAGAGAATAAAAATTTCAATCTATCAGAAATCATGCATTGTGGAATAGTTTCTGATAGGTTGAAATTCTTAAGCGGGAAACACAGACTCTTGCATAACGCATAAAGCCGATTCTATTGGGTCATTTAAAAAGTATCCGCGGTTTTTTGTCACTAGATGTGTGTTGATGGTCATATATCTAGTGACAAAGTACCGCGGATACTTTTTAGATGACCCAATATATTAGTTGCAAGCCGATCGCAAATTTGTTGTGAGAGCCAATCGAAAATAAGCGTCAGCATGAAAAGGTAACTTTCAGCTGCTTTTTCATGCTGACGTTTGACGCTCATTTTCAGCGTCAAAATCAAAGGTCATATGATCAAAATTGACACTTGACATTTGTCAATTTCTATCACGTGACTTATTTTGACGTCGGCATAAAAAGGCATCTTAAGGAAGGAATAACATGGTGCTTTCACCATGTTATTCCTTCCTTAAGGAACCTAAACAGGTCACGTGATCAAAAGTGAGGCTTGGTATTCGTCAATTTTGACCACGTGTTAACCTGTTTTAACGAATCGAGTGTCAAGCGTCAGCATGAAAATGCAGCCTCATGCTTCTAAAATAGCTGCCATTTTAATTTTTGCTGAGTGCAGTGAGGCACGGACGCGAACGGAGCAGAAGGGAAGAATATGCTCAGAGGTTTCCAAGATGGCGAAGAAAACGCAGGCAGAGAAAACAGCACAGAACGACGAGACCGCCAAGGGCAACGACGATCCGATGAACGACGATGAGGAGCCCAACTTCAGCGATCCGGAAGGCTTCGTCGACGACATCACTGATGAGGGCAAGTATTCCATTTGCTTCTCTTCTTTTTTTTTCCTTTTCTAACCCCGTTACGGGATTGGGAAAGGAAAAAAAAAAGAAAAGATTAATATACTTTGATATTATCTAAATATCTATAAAATTATCTGCTATGATATTATAAAAAAGAGACAGAGGCAGAAAGAGTTTTAAGCCTCGCTTAAAATCAAAGTAACATTGGTGTACTCGGACCTTAATGTGATGGCACGTGACGCCTAAAATCCATGTCACAGTAAAGTATTGATGCCCAAATGGAGTCGACAGTACATATCGCGAGCTTTCATTGTATATGAAGCATCACATTGAGTTGATTCGAAAAGTATGGAAAAAAGAAGAAAATTGCTATAAAGAGGAACCATTTGCAAGATAGTTTGTGCGATAGTTCACAACGCTGATTTTCCGTCAAGTTATTCTGCAAATCGAAAATACTCCAAATTATTAGCGACGAGGAAAATAATTTTTTACAGCGAGGTCGAACAAGTGTGACGTGTCTTAACGCTGTAAGCGCTTACAGCGCTCAAACGCGTTACACTTGTTCGAACCTCGCCGTAATCTGTACATATATATGAGTGCGCGCGAGCGCGCATTCCACACACAGCACGTGTCATTTCATCCCCAAAAATTATTTTCCTCGTCGGTTTGGAGCGCTGATAATTTGGAGTATTTCCGATTTGCAGAATAACGGAAAATCAGCGTTGTGAACTATCGCACAAACTATCTTGCAAATGGTTCCTCTTTATAGCAATTTTCTTCTTTTTTCCATACTTTTCGAATCAACTCAATACAATGTGATGCTTTGTACACGATGAAAGCGATATGTATTGTCGACTCCATTTGGGCATCAATATTTTATTGACTTGGATTTTAGATATCACATTAAGGTCCGATTGCACCAACGTTACTTTGATTTTAAGCGAGGCTTAAAACTCTTTCTATCTCTGTCTTTTTTTGGCTTTAAAACGAGATTTTAAATAGAGTTTTAAGTCTCACTTAAAGTCTCACTTAAAGTGACACATTGCTGCAACCTAAGTCTGTTCGTGTTGCTAGAAATTCCGAAAAATGTTTGCACTTAAAAGGAGATAAATATATATTCGAACGTTGAAGGAAGAGAAAGCGAAGATGCTGAGTGAAAAGAGTGTTACAAGCAGCGAACAGACCTAATGGTGCCTGCTTGAAACATGTTCGGGGAGCATGTTATTATGTTCCATCGTTCATTAGACATAAAACAAAGATAGAATAACGCTGATAGCTCCAAATGCACTCTTGATATCAATTTGTTTTTTAAAACATTTTTTTTAAACTCCAAATAACGAGTGTATAGAATAGAATAGAATTTATTTACACTTCAGCACATACAAGCCAAGAAGGGAACTTGGTTTATAGAAATACTTAACTCATTCACACTTACATTCCCCTCCCACATTTATCTTACAACTATAAATCTAAACTATTACTATACATTCTCTTTTATCTATACATAATCACAGCCTTATCACAGTCTATTATTTATATCCTATTCCTTCCCTTTATCTCTACACAGCATTTCTTTACCCGTGCTTATCTTCCCCTCCTTATCTTCCCTTATATTCTTTAATTGCACGTTTCATCTACATCTTATCCTTTTTATTGATCTCATTACAATGCATTTCCTTAACTTATAAATAGATAATATATTACCTATAACTGACTATAACTAACTGTATTATACAAACTACACTACAATCTTATATTCACAGCCTCTGTCTTACAAAATACAAAATACTCATTCTTTGACTGACGAGTATATACAGAGTGTATATAAAGCAGACAACATTTGTCCCCCTCCTCCCTTAAATGTTAGCAGAGAAAAAATTAAATTATGAAAATCATTAGGCTTGTTCTTATCGCTACATTAAAACTTTTTGTTTCGCTTTCGCCAAACTGTAAATATGTATCTAAGGCCCAGTTCCACCAATGTAAGATTAACTTTACGGTTTATTTAATTTTCATTTTTTTTTATTTTTAGAACCAGAAAAAGATAAAAAGTACATTAAACCAAGATTAAAGTTAATCTACATTGATAGAAATTAACATTATTCTTCCAAGAGCTGATGATGGTCTATTAATTAGAACTATTTAATTATGAATCTTTGTCAAAAAAGTTGAACATTTCAATTTTTTTATGTTACACCTGCAAATTTGAATTATTATTAAAATATTCTTTCTTGTGCAAGTCATTTTGGTTCTTTGAAATTAATTAGTGTCTTTTAATTATCAATTAAATCGATTTTATAAAGCTATAACTGTGTTACAGCTATCTATAGATACATTTATCTATAGATTACAGATTTTAACTTCAGCTCCAGAAGGTTGAAATTGATTTATAGATTAAGCCCGATCTACAATTGCGTAAACGTTGTAAATGGTTGTGAAATGTTGTAAAGCCAAGTTTTAATCTGCTACTTGCTATAGTTGTAAAGCATGTTGTGAAAGATGATTCTTTATCTTTCACGACTACAACTAAAAACGTAAAACATGAGTGAACCAATCAGAGTACTGTCATGTGTTTACATTATCATCCTTTTTGTCTCGACGTAATGAAATAGAAATGAATGTAAAGTGTTCTTTTCATCTTTTTGCATTCATTTGATAATATATATTATATGACGAGTTTATTATATTACGAATATATTATATTACGAGTATGGAACATGGAGAAAGTATTGTGAGCAATGTTCAATTTGAAGATGAAAATTCATTGAATCTTTACTCGATTGTAGATTAATATGTTGTACAATATTCACTGCTACTACTACACCCATAACCTTATGTTTACGCAATTATAGATCAGGCTTTATATTATAATATTACGAGAATGAACGGTTCGTATAATAATGAATATACGTTTGTATTGTAAACTTACAGAATTGCTCGGTGATATCTTGAAACAGAAACCTTCTGAAACGGATGGAGTGGAATCCGTGATTGTTGTGGATAATGTGCCTCGGGTAGAGCCTGACAAATTAGAGAAGCTTCAATCTGTTATCAATAAAGTCCTGGGAAAGTTCGGCACAATAGTCAATCAGTACTATCCAATGAATGAGACTGATGGCAAGACTAAAGGGTTAGTCTAAAAATTAAAAAAAAAATCAAACCTATTTTTGTAAAAAAATATCTTTCAGAAAAAACAATTGACTCTTTTTGAAATATTTTCTTTCTTTTTCACAGATACATTTTTCTGGAATACAATAATCATTTGAACGCGCTCACTGCAGTCAAATCCACTAATAA